ATCGACACGTCATCGAACACGTGTTCAAGCTTTAAAGCAGCTTTAAAAAGTCTTTACATGTTGTCGCAGACTTTGTCACTTATCAGCTTTGTCTCTAACTGCTATTCTTCTTTTCTAAATTTTTTTCCTTCTTTTTGTCAAGGTTTTTTGTATTTTTTTGTATTATTGAATTTTTTTATTAAAACTATTAAAACTATTATAATAATATTTAATACTTTTATATTATTTTTTTGAATTATAGTAAATATAGGGTATGTTGTATTACAAAATATAATTTTAAGTTCTAATACAAAAAATCAAAAAGGTGGACAAAAATGTGTCTTTTTTAACAATTAAGTGTTATTTATAAATATGAAATAACTAAATTATCTCATTCGCTACGATGAACTACTGTGTTTGATGAGAAACAATATCTGCCAATAGATTTAACACTCGATGGTAATGTAACATTAGTCAAATTAATACATTCATTGAAACACCAATCACCAATTGATGTAACACTTGATGGTATTGATATAGAGTACCATGAAATATCACTGCGGCGTGAAATATTACTGCGAATTGTTATTGTCCAAAAATAATGTTATTAAGGGTTTTAAAACATTTTGGATTAATTTTTTTGTTATTTAAGGCTGTTAAAATGAAAAACGACAATTTTGTTCTACAAAATCTTTTGAGGCTAAGTCAACAGATTGTGCTAAGAGAAAAACTGGTGTTTTTATATTCTATTTATGAGGGTTTTGTTTTTTCCTTTTCTAATTAAAAAACAAAACTATTTTAAATTTTTTGTTATTACAAAAAGACAAATTCTAAATTATAGTTTCACATATCCAAAAATTATTTTATCAAGTAAAAATTTGTTTTGATATTTTTAAAATGTGAATAAATGTTCAAATAATTGATATTGATTTATTCGTTACATCAATTTATGAAATATAATTTTATTGAACAGTCGATATCTCTGCCAAAATATGAACACATTTTAACAATAAAGTTTTGCTTAATATCGTATTGTTGATGAAGATTAAAAATTACCAATAAAAAATCGTTCTCATAATTTTAATAACCAAATAATCACTTAACAATATAATTTTATTCTGATGTATAAAGTGTATTCATTAGTTGCTTTCACAATGATTTGTTATTTGAAAAATCATTACTCAATGTCTTGTAGATGTTTTATGAAAGTCGTTGATTTTTAGATTAAAAAATTTAAAGAAAGAATCTAACCCGTCACACCGTGACACAAAAATTGTTCAGAAACAAAACGAATAAACAATATAATTATCTATTTCATAACAACATCTGTAATATCGAAATCGTTTAATAAATACTTGACATGTTGGTTGTATAATCACTGGCTATTTTGATCGTAAAATGATGTGGAAATACAATCACAATTCACATCAAATAAAATAAATCAATGAACTATTATTATAGTATAAATATAATTAAAATATAATAAACAATAAACAAATGAAATAGTTAATTAACGTGTATTTTTAATTAACATCAACATATCAATAGCAAAAATTTATAATAAAACAACAATAAATTATAATTTATTTTTTTAAATGTGAAACTATTTTTAATAATTATTATCATATAATTAAACTAGTCGATTAATTATGGATAATTTTATTATAAATTATACTTATTTTAAAAGGGTTAAAACATCAGAACCCCAAACAACTTAATTCTTTCATTTCAACAAATTATTTATTTTTTAAAACAGGTGTGATTAAATTATCGACCA